AGAAGATTAAGAAGAAGAATAGAAGAAGAAAGAAGAAGAAGAAGAAGAAGAAGAAGAAGAAGAAGAAGAAGAAGAACAAGAAGAAGAAGAAGAAGAAGAAGAACAAGAACAAGAACAAGAACAAGAAGAAGAATAAAATAAGGAGGAGGAGCGGAGGCGGAAAATAGAGGAGAAGAAGAAAAAGAAAATAGAAGAGGAGGTAGAGAAGCAGCAGGTGTAGTATAACTGTTGTCTCCCTTAACTCAGCCCACAAGCACACATACCGCCTCACTGCGTTAAAAAGAAGTGGCTAAACAAACCAAATTCCGCATTTAGCTAGCAACTAACTCCCCCTCATTGTGTACCTAACCCTGAATGATAAGGTTAGTAGATCAACTGGACTGTTTCACTACCAATGTCTTTCAGCTAACATCGTCTGACGTTATCTGCCATAGGTCGTATATTATGGAAGATTTCTTTATCTCCGAAATTACCTAACGCGCAGTAAGGTTACCGGCAAATATAAAAGTCACGATGATAGGCCTCACTGTACCGGGTTCCGTCTCATTTGCCTGAACGGCTAGCCGCCTACCAAGAGCGTCGCATACAGCACCTACTCCCTAGCGCAAGGGACGATCCGAAGGGAACCGTAAAAATTACACTCTTGAGGATTAGGAGAAGAAAAAGGAGAAAAAAGAAGAAGCAGAATAGGGTTAGGAAATCACGACGGTTAAATAGCTGAAAGTCTTGTGGTATAGTATGGAGGTAGTGTTAACCCCCCCCCCCCCCCCCCCTTCCCCCCCCCCCCCCCTGACAAATCGGGGCGAAATTTTGATTTCCAACTCTTTCAGTGCACAGAGTGCAATGAGGTCCTTCCTGTGTCACATTTAGCGAATAATGTGTTCTCTTACATTTTAACACTCGTCTGCGCATACTAAAGAAATCTGTCCACTTCGGTGGTGATACCTACTGTGCCTAACCTTTTTATAATATTCTCCTGCTTGGACATTTGCTGTCCTATCATCTAGTAAATAACTTGTAAGCTTACCTCTATTCACCTATCCTCCTGTCTGTCTGTCTGTCCTCTTGTCTGTCTGTCTGTCTGTTTGTCTATTTATCTATTTATCCTCTTGTCTGTCTGTCTGTCCTGTCTGTCTATTCTCCTGTATGTCTGTCTGTATGTCTGTCTGGCTGTATATTTTAACACAGTGCATATTTTCTCTAGATTTATTACAACGTGTACGGTTTACTGTAGTTAGGTATGTGCATATTCCAGTGCTTGTATTGAATATTTTGATGAAATTTATAATGTTTACTATTACTTGATGTATCCCATCAGGGGTTAATATATCTAGTAGTCACCGGTTAAAACGACATTTTTAACACGAACTCTTAATTTTTCGGTTTATTGGGCTTCGTATTACCAAGCGTTTCTTGAAATTAGAAAGGATGCACACCGGAACCCACAGAGGCATAGAAATAAAAGCATTAAAACAAACATGGATGACGGAGCTAAAGAGTGAGCTTAAGAGAGGAGAACATGGAGTGAGTTGCTTGATATAGCAAAGGATTGAACAACATGGCATGAGTTGGTATAGATGCTATGCTCCACTTAGGCGATAAAGAGCAGAAAAAGAAAGTCTGTTATTTATCTCTGAGAGTGCAGCACAAACTTCATGAATCAGTCAGTGATCACACAGTCATCTGACTGGTCGTCTGTTTTCCCTCTACTTCCTAACACTCTGTTGTGGCGGGTCAAACGGGGTCGCCGATCCAGTGTTTCGTGTTTCAGTTGTGCAGCTTGGGGTTGCTAATACTTGGGTTTTCCATCAAGATCTAATTTTTTTTTTTTTTTAATGCCATGGATTCAGATATATCCTTATATAAAAGTGGGTAAATGTTTCTTCTTTTTCTTTTTCCGTTCGCCTGAAATAAGTTGTCTATATCAGCAGTTTTTTTTTTCTTGTATAAATTTCACTGTCGTTGTTAGTTCATTCAGTGGTCCATAGAGTTCTTTCTGGCCAAAAGGTTTGCCTTAATGTGTCAAATTCGGTGCAGTCCTGGAGTACATGCTCTGCTGTCTGGGGCACATTTCCACAGGTGCACATCGCTGATACACCTATCTTGAATTTTGTGTACATGTGGTTACGTAATCGGTTGTGCCCTGTTCTGAGGCGGAGGATAATGACTTGTTCTGGTCTGTCCATAATAAAATAGTCGTCTTGTGCTGGGGCTGGTGGTTTCCTGATCGATTTAATGATTCTTTTCTTTTGGTGGTATGGGACTGGTACATCCGGCTGATCTTTTGTCGCACCTTCCCCTGCTAGTTGATCAGCTTTCTCATTTCCAGACACTCCACAATGAGACGGTATCCACTGCATTACGACTCTTTGCCGAAGGCTAAGTTGTGTCAGCAGTGTTTGCAATTCTGGTAGTTTCCTAGACTGGAGTGCTTCAAGTACTGATTTAGCATCTGTCAGCATTACTACATACTGTGAGCCAAGATTGGTATTTAGCGGTTTCTCTGTTGCTATCTTGATAGCTTGAGTTTCTGCTTAATAGTTATGGCAGTACTTCCCGGTTGGTACGCTGGACTTATCCCTAGTACCATCTGGGAATTCTATGTACACTCCAGAACCACCATTTCTAACTGCACTTTCTTAGGACCCATCTATATAGACTCTGACCCATTGTTCTTGTGGGTATTCTTCATCAATCTAACTGAGGGTTGCCATTCTGCGCTGTACACTATCTTGCTCTTTCTTGTCAAATATCCCTTTCACATTTGTCTGGATGTGTACTGTTAGTTTGCATTTTTCTCTCCATAGGGTTTGTTTCGGAATACTTTTAAGTGGGCAGCCAATTTCTGGAAGGTCAGGAGTTTGTCTACATATTCTTTTTGCTTGGTGTATAAAGCTGCTTCTTTTTAACCGTCCCAAGGCTAGGTTCTTAAATCTATTTTCCATCGGGTGATCTGGCATACTGAGGAACTTTTCAGCTTGTATTTTCAACTTTGTATCTCTGCGTTCTCTCAATGCCTGTGTTTTCCCAGCTGTCTCCATTTCTAATATGGGGGTTGATTTCATCCCTCCTGTGATGACTCTGAGCGCTTGATTTTGCACTTTGTCCAACTCCTTTAATGTGGTACTAGATGCTGAACACCATGCAGTTGACCCATATTCCAAGTGTGGAAGTATGCTCTGCTTGTATTGAGTATTTTCCCATCGGCTCCCCATGTGGTTCCACTTAGTTTTCTTAGTATTGCTGTCTTCCTCCTGGCTTTAGTTGCTGCCTTGTTGATGTGTTGTTGTTTTTTTCATGTCAACCTGTCATCAAATGTGACTCCTATGTATGTGGGCTCTTTATCATGTCTTAAGGGTATTCCGTTTATTTTGATGATGCCCGCTTTTTGCTTTGGGGAGAGGGTGAAGAGTGTGGTGCTACATTTGTCTGTGTTGATGCTGACACGCCATCTATTGGCCCATGCCTCAAGTGCATTTGTAGCCCGCTGTAGTGTTTTTGTGGCTTATGATGCATGTTCATTGGTGCACCACAGTACCAGGTCATCGGCATACACTGCCATTTTGATTCCATTTGGTATCTCAGCAACCAGGTCGTTAATGAATAAGAGGAAAAGTGTGGGCGACAGGACACCACCTTGAGGGACGCTTTGTCGCAGTAGAACTTTTTTACTTTTAAAACAATCTACCTGTACCCGGGCTCTTCTGTTATGTAGTTATGCTTTAATCCAATTGTACATTTTCCTATTTATTTTATAATTTCTCAATTTCTTTAAAAGCCCCTCCTTCCAAACCTTATCAAAAGCTTTCCTTAAATCTATCCATGCCGCGATTACCAGTTTCTTATCTTGAAAAGAATCCTCTATTTCTTGGGAGAGGTATGTTGTCTGGTCTTCCGTAGAGTATAACTTTCTAAAGCCCGCCTGCTGTGGTGTAATGATGTTTTCACTTTCAATGTATCACTGTAGTCTGAGGTTGGTGATGCGCTCTAGTTTTACAGAGACAGCTTGTGAGGCTGATCGGTCTGTAGTTGGAGGCATTAGAACTGTCTTTCCTATGCTTTATATCATAATTGCCTCTATCCAGATCTGGGGAACATTCCCTGTTGCCCAGCAAGCATTAAATATATGTAAAAGCTTTGTTTTTGGCCACTGTTCCTAAGTTTATGATCATTTCGTTTGATATACCATCAGCTCCTGGTGACCTCCGCATTTTCAGCTTTGAAATGGCCAAATGTTTCGTTTCGTAACTATAAAATTTTAAGTTTTTATTATTCTTTGGGGTTTTTGGTCAGCTTAGCATGAGTTTTGACAAAAATCTCATTGGCAGCCCCGGTGCTGCAGAATCTCCTATAATAGAGCCCTTGTTTACCGCTAGAGACAATCGCCACATCTTGCTGGTGGCAAAGAAATATTCCTCATAAGTCACATCTTGCTGGTGGCAAAGAATGCTTCCTCGTGAGCCCATCTTGCTGGTGGCAAATAATGCCGCCTCATGAGCCACACTTACAAACGCCTGGTGTCACAAACTGGAAAGAGTAGGCCAACCAGAATAGATGCGGGTGATACGCGCTGCGATGAACCTCAAGGGTTCGATGGCTGAAAAAGATAAGTCCCTAATACTGATCTTTTTTTTTTTTTTTTTTTCATTTTATTAAGCCTCAGTTACTTGTTATTTTAACCCTTTCCGTCCCATGGAGTTAAATCTAAAAGCGATAAATAATTATGTCCGAAGGAGTTTAACTGAGATACACTGGAAAGGGGGGGGGGGTGGTTGGGAGAAATTATACTTATAATTCAGATATAAAGAGTTACTGCAATCTCCTTCTATGATACAAAGTACCAGGAGCTTTTGAATCATTAATAGACAAAGCCTGATTTGTCTGGGATTGAAAGGGTTAAGAGTTGAAATTCTGGTGCAATTATTTCCCTGCTCTGCTGTAGCTTTACCAGTTTTGTATTATATTTTTACGTTTTCTATTGTAATTGTGTTTGTTTTCAG